GTGGTTTCTTAGAACTGAACGGTAGTCTACATTGATACGCTGCGGTGTCAACCGTTATTATTATTATAAATGATATTTTTCCCGATTTCCTTTTTACCTTTTCTGAGCGAACTCTGTCGCCAGTTGGCACGATAAAATTTATATCGTAGGGAAGCGCCGGGTTATCTAAAGTTTGACTGTTTTTCATGTAAAAACAGTTGTCATATTTTTATGACGCATATGTGCAAATACATTGTTTGTTTGGTTCATATGCATATTTGTACTTGTAATTTTGTTTATGCAAAAAGAAAGTTGCTGGTTTTTGTTTTACCAGTTTTTTACTTGATAATTAGTAACTGCTGTTAAATATTCATGAATTGTAAAATAAAATAAATAAATCTCTGGATATATTAAAAAACAATTATTATAAATTATTTTGTCTGTTGCAAAATATAGATATGCACTGGAACTCCTCCTCTTTAAAAGAAGAAAATATTAAAATACCAATCAATTGTGCAAGTGCGCCTAATAAACTCAAAGTCAAAGGGGGGAGTTAAACTTAATTATTTATTCAAAAACAACCGCCAACGTTTTGCTAAAGTTGTCGGTTGTTGTGCCTAATGAAGTTTTACAAAAATAGATTTCCTTCCGTTCCGTTGACAACAAGACTTGTTATTTTCATTATTAAACGATGACGATTTCGATAATGCTGGTTGATTTAAAATGATCACCCACGCATGGATGACCATAGGTATGCGTATGATACATTCAATGTCGTAATTTTGGCATGATATCATCTCATGTCGTCATTGTCACTAAAATAAAAGCAATGTTTGGGTATTGTGAACAATTTTTTATGGCAAAGGCTACTTAAATACTGACTTGTTTTGTTACCAAAATTGACGATAAATTAATGGTCGTTTTACCAGGAAATATGGGCACCTACTTGTACATTTTTTTTACAAAATAAAATTTCACTAGCTTAATTAAATAATAAAAATTTTCATGTATTACAAAATAAAGATACATTTTATAAACCTTCGTTGAGAATAAAAGGAATATACGAATGTTTTAGTATAAACTTATGTAAATGTAGTCTTGACCTTTTGTGTCCTATAAAATGTAGGGGTCAGTTGTCTCTCGTATAGTTGGTAGCTTCGGTTTTTTCGCTGCTGATTCTTTTTTCTGAATTTAGAAAATTATTCAACTAAAATTTAAGCATAAACTCAAATAATATATTTAAATAAGATGGAAAGTCAATAGTGGGATCTCTATTTTAACCTCTCAAAGGTCAAGTAGTGGTTCATATTCATATTTATAATTAAACTGTAATAAACAGTCTATTTTTGCAAACAGTAACATTACGATGTAAAAATGTAATTAATTTCTAATTTTCGATATGCATTACATAAAGTGGTAATTTAGTTAAAATTATTTAGTACTTATTAAGTATTGCGCTGTCATTAAATAATAATTTGTTTGATGATTCTAATTTAGAAATTTACTTGGTAGATGATTTGTATTTAGCCATATAATTTAGTAATCTTTCATAATTTAAAAGAAAAAGTAGTTGCTTTGTAGATTTAATATTTGTGTAAGTACTCTCAGAAAAATAAATAGTATGATATATATCTGGAAATATACGTCTCGAGAATTATAAAATAAAAGAATAAAATTTACAGGATATGAATTAAATATAAGAATTTTTATGAAAAATGGACAAATTGTTTCTAATGCTTTCACAGTCCCAGCTCCACGTAACGAATCCGTAATTACAGTGGTGTTTAGTACTGTGAAAATTATTTTGACTGTGCTCGCTATATTCATCAAAGAGAAAATGNGTACTGTGAAAATTATTTTGACTGTGCTCGCTATATTCATCAAAGAGAAAATGTTGATGTAATACACTGTACAGTAACAGTGCGCTTTAATATCGAACATATAAATATATGCAAGATAGAACAATGTGCCAAGTTTGGCTTCATCTTTTTCTAAAATGTCATTATGCTGCGTTTAATGTTAATAATTTTTATTATTGCGGATTACACTGTAGACTAATAAGTGTCATTTTTTGTTTAACAGGTGGTAAATCTAAACAAAATGCAGCGCAGAAATCCAAAGATAACCAAAAACAGGCTAATCATCAACAGCAACAGCAGGCGACTGGTGGTGGGGGTGGTTTCGTTTCAACCGCAGCAAGCAATGCAAATAAACCTCCACAAACAGTCACCCCATTGCCCGTTCCGCAGTCACAACCTGCGAAGGCAAACAACAAAACGAACAAAATGCGAGAGCTCAATCAGAAAGGTCAACTCAAGCAGGGCTCCGATATGGATGCATTCAGTGATGACGTTGCACACGCTGTTGTTGCCACGAAGAACAATGCCACATCCGAAAATGGCAACAAATTGCCTTTGGCAACTGTCGACCTCGTCAACACCAATACTACTGTGATCGTAGAGAATAGTAAGATAACAAACGAAAAATTAGTTGAAAAGGCGTCAACGCCGTTGTCGGCTGCTAACAATAATCACGTCGCGGCGCTGCCGACGTCTACTCCCTCTCCTTCGGTACCGACGATGCCCGCGAAATCAAGAGTCGATGTTACCTCCATTGTGCCGAATATGGCTCCAGTACCGGTGGCTTTTACTGCACCCGTGGATCCGACGGCGGTCCCTGCGTTATCGCGCGATGAAACAGATCGCGCTACCGTCATCGCTAATGACAAACTTGTTCAAGCGAAAAATAAGGCAAACAGGACTCCCCCTGTAACCATAGACCACAATAATGTAATAGATACTAAAAATAATACAACATACAAGGAAGGTAAGAAAATTGAACAAACAACGTTTTTTGTTAGTACTTCTAACATTTATTTATTAATAATTTGAGATAAATAAATTCTTTTTTTATTTAGTGCCAATTTCTGAAGAAAAAAAAAAGGTATATACATTGGAAGATTTATTATCGCTAAAAAATGCTCCGGCGAGTCGTATGAAACCTGAAAAGTACAGGATACCTCCTGAATTGTTTGTTTGCGATGATCGAGCGGTATGTTATCCAAGATGTTGATAATCGACATTTTCTTTTATTATTTTTTTTGTGTTTAGAGAATCGGTGACATTAATAGGTTTGCTGTGAGAAATACTCCGGATTTTGCTCCGCAATTTAGTAGTGGTGCCGGTACATATCCCGGAAGGGGATCTTCACAAAGAGGACCGGTAAGGATTAACATATATTTATTTTATTTGCTCCTTTATACTTTTCGTTCTCAATGATGATTTTACATAAAAATCGATGAAAGTAGTGAACTGAAGTTCCATGCTGCTATTGTTATTCTGAAGAGAATTATCAAGGAAAAATTAAATGTTGTAATTAGAATCATTCGAACGACAAAACTGAAATAATACTTTTATTCTAAGGTGGTTAATAAACGAGGAAGCCAATCGGGTAAACCAAGTGGTGCCAATAAAGGTGGCAAACAAAGTGTTATTAAAGTGTCCATATCCGTTAAAGAGGACGTCAAACTCCACGAGACTGAGAATGCATGGAGGCCGGCTCGACTTGTTATGGGAGCTAGTATGACTGAAGATGACAAAAAGACTGAAGTAAGAACTCTGCTTTTTATATTATTATTTCTACCGTATTTTCTACTTCTGTTTCTAAAATTCCACAATTTAACTGTAAATTTAAATTAAATTGCTACATAAAATAAATTTACATTTATCACAGTCCCAGCTCCACCTAACGAAATTTAAAGTTATGGTGGCGTTTTTGTACTGTGAATAGAATTGCCTGTGCTTCTACATTCGTCAATAAATTGTTTCACTAATTGATGCAATACAATGCACAGAAACAGTAGCATAGTAACATTTTTAAATGGTTCAACCGTAGTAAACTGTCATCTTTGTATTTTAGCATTTACTGTGTGGTTTCCCGTTAACATACGATCGGTATTCAGGCTGGCTCGTTTAGAACTTTTTTGACACTTTATTTTAATCATTACTCTGTACATGGCGTTTTAGTTGGCTGATTTCTCCAATTCCAATATTTTTATACTCTTTTAGCAACTGTACAGAAAAGTTCGTGGTATATTGAATAAACTAACGCCGCAGAAGTTTCAAACCTTGTTGGGGCAGATCCAGAGTTTAACAATTGATACATGTGAACGATTGCAAGGCGTCATCGATTTAGTGTTTGAAAAGGCTGTGGATGAACCCAATTTTTCCGTGGCCTACGCCCTACTCTGCAGAGAGCTTGCCCTTATGCAGGTAACGTATCATTAGTTTTCTTTTATTTCGCTTTTATAATTTTTTTTCTTTCTTAGGTACCTAATAGCGAAGAAGTTAGGAAGAAGGACGGTCAAGAATATGTTAATTTTCGTAAACTTCTGGTCACCAGGTGTCAACGAGAGTTCGAGAAAAATTCAGTTGACGAAGAGGAACGTAACTCGAAAGTTAAAGAAATTGAAGAATGTGCTGATCCAGAAAAGAAAAAAGAACTCCAGTTAGAACTTGAAGAATATGATAGGCGACTGAGGATGAAGTCTGTCGGAAATATTCGATTTATAGGTAATGGACATATGAGTAATAATACAATTTTTCTATGTATATGTTAGTTTTTTGTAATTTTATTTATTTATATATAAAACCAATATGAAAATATACGTCTCGAGAATTATAAAATAAAAGAATAAAATTTACAGGATATGAATTAAATATAAGAATTTTTATGAAAAATGGACAAATTGTTTC